AAGTTCGAAAAAGAGCTCTGCCAAGATCGAGGACAGCGACAACGACGTCGGAGGCGACGGTGACGCGCCCAAGGAAAAGCGCAAGGCGTCGGGCGGGTTCCAAAAGCCCTTCAACCTGAGCTATCAGCTCGGCGAGCTGGTGGGCGTGTCCCAGCTGTCGCGGCCGCAGGTAGTGAAGAAGCTGTGGGAGCACATCAAGGGCCACGAGCTGCAAGACCCACAGGACAAGCGACAAATTCGGTGCGACGAGAAGATGCAGGCCGTGTTCAAGCAGCAGAAGATTGACATGTTTCAGATGAACAAACTGCTCAGCAACCACCTATATCCGGTGGACGAGGAGTAGAGGAAACAAGGGGGCAAGGGAGCACCGATGCCATCTTTCCATCTTGTGGAGCGCGAAACGACCTGATGGGGGATGGGGTGCGAAGCGACGCCGGAGACGATGTGATGGTGGACGACGTCACGATGACGACTGGGGATCTGCGATTGGAGCATATGGGCGTGGCGAGGCGAGGCCGCTGCAAGGCTGTGAAATATGTGAGGCTGACAGTGAAAATACTATGGCGTTATGGCGGGTCTTGGTCTTTATCTTTTCTCTGCTGGCGCACTTTGCATTCGTCTTGTTATTTATTTATGTATTTTGTGACTGCATCTCCATCCTCTTTTGTCTTTTGTCGCTTATCATTAATTTTGTTTTTCATTTACCTTGCCTCCGTTGCCCTTGCTGTCGGCCACTGACACCGATATGTTTGATTTGTTCCTTCCCATCTCTTGTTATCGATTCGTCGGTGTCTGTCTTGTCTCAAACAAATTGCGTTTGCTTCTGTCTCCGTAATACAGTTGCACCTACAATATGCAGAATAATCAATTGCATTCGCTCTATGCCAACATCGTGGCGGAATGCTGAATGCGTCACACTGTCAGTCCGTGACCGAGCATCTAAAGACTACTTTCCTGAATCATGCATGGTGATGCCGTGTAACGACCCTAGGATGACTCAAACGAACTCATTGTGAGTTGGTAAACCGTCTGCAGTTACAGCCAACCGACAGTAGCCAGTAGCACCCTAAAGAAGCGCTCAGTGTCCACGTCGTAATTACCCCTGCCACTCGCGCCTGCTCGTATCATTTTACCTTTCCACTCTTGCCAATGTGGCTCGGTACAAGGCTGAGCCGGTTAGCGTTGTCGAAGCTCCAGTATGACCGCCGTATGACACATTTTGACGGGACAAGGCGAACAGGGGAACGACAAACGAGGAAAGAGGGAGCGTCAAGTTTCCCAGAAAGGCAAGACTTATGTAGCAGGCTGAGACGGCAGGAGCGGTGGCTACAGCGAGTGTGGGACAGTTTTACAGTGATCGATCCAGCGGTAGTGAGGGCGCTCGGCACCTTCTCGAATCCAAAGAATTTGCCCCTCGGTATCTGGTCTGTGCGCCACAACCAAATCCAGGAGCTAACAGCACCGCGAAGCTTTTTGTTCGCCTTTTGTCTGCCGCCGATCAGCCAATGAGAGTCGTGGCACACGGAAGGAAAGAGGGAGGGAGCGATTGGAAATTCAAACGGAAAGCCCCAAAACGAAAAAAATGTAGTGCCTGCCAAACAGGAAGGAAGCAGCTCGAAGACGGAAAGAGCAGCTGACGACACAACTTCCCTTTTAAAGACAAACATATTCGCATGTCTTGTCTTGACGTTGGCATCTTCGTTTCTCTCTCCCCACTCTGCATTACTTTTCAAAACTGTTTTTTTTGCTCGTTATACTTTTCTGATTTTAGCCTGTCTGCATCACATATCTCATTGCGCTAGGCGTTTGTGCCATCTTTTCATTTTTCAAGTGCCCTTTCCTTGTCGTCCTTTCCTCCTCCCCCACCTCTCCCTTTCTCGACGAGAACGATTGCGAAGACGACGACGACAACGACGATAAGAACGGCGAAGGCGACTTCGAAGACGACGACCTCTTTTCTATCCAACATCCTGCCCCACCGAAACAGCCGCGATCCAGCCGACCAGCAAACCATGGCTGACAGCGGCGGCGCAGCATCCACTACAGGCGGCGGCGGCGGCGGCGGCGACCAAGCAAACGCTAACCCGTCACAAAGACAATCAAGGCGAGGCGGTGGAGAAGGCGGTGGCCGGGATGGTGGAGGCCGCGGCCGCGGCCGCGGAGGCGGTCGTGGGCGGGGTGGTGAAGGTGGAGGGCGGGGTGGCGGTGGCCGCAGTGGTGGGCGTGGCGGTGACTCACAACAGGGCCCCTCGGAGGGCGGCAACCAGCGGCGACGAGGTGGCGGCGGAGGTCGTGGCGGACGGCTTGGCGGCGGTGATCATCGACGGCACGCTTCTGGCGATGCTGCAGAGAGCGGAGACACCGCGGCTATCCCACAACCATCACGCAAAGATCCACTTTTGCGGCCGCCGCAGCCAGCTGGCGAAGGCAACGGCGGCGAGGACGGTGCCGCCGGTGACGACGCCGAGGTATGCTTCATCTGCGCCAACCCGGTCATCCACCACGCTATTGCGCCCTGCAACCACCTGACCTGCCACATCTGCGCGCTGCGCATGCGCGCGCTCTATCGGACGAAGGACTGCCCACACTGCCGGACGCCGGCACCATATGTCATTTTTACAGACGACCCGGCGCGGCGTTTTGAGGACTACACAGACGCAGACATCAGCAGCACCGACGACAACATTGGCATCAAGTACACCAACGAGGACATTGTCGGCGACACGGTGCTCCTGTTGCGGTACAACTGCCCCGACGAGAGCTGCGACTATGCCGGCTTTGGCTGGCCCGACCTGCACCGCCATGTGCGCTCGACGCACCACAAGAAGATGTGCGACCTGTGTACGCGCAACAAGAAGGTCTTTACTCACGAGCACGAGCTGTTCTCAGAAAAGGCCCACGAGAAGCACATGCGGCACGGCGACGACAGGCCGGGCGCTGTGGACCAGACAGGCTTCCGAGGCCATCCGCTCTGTGGCTTCTGTGGTGAGCGCTTCTACGACGACGACAAGCTGTATGAGCACTGTCGCAACAAGCACGAGCGCTGCTTTCTCTGTGACCGGCGGGACTCGCGCCAACCTCACTACTACCGCAACTACAACGAACTGGAGAAGCACTTCCGGAAAGACCATTTCATCTGCTCGGACCGTGAGTGCCTCGAGAAGAAGTTTGTCGTCTTTGAGGCCGAGCTCGATCTCAAGGCACACCAGCTGAGCGAACACGGCAACTCGCTATCCAAGGACGTGCGGCGCGATGTGCAAGTCGTCAGCATGGCGGACTTTGACTTCCGTGGCAGCGAGAGCCGCGGTGGAGGTGGCCGCAGCCACCAGGGCCGTGCGAGCCGTGGTCGTGACCCCAACGCGGACGCGCCCGTTCCCACGGCGTCGTCGTCCCAGACCATGCGGCGCGACGAGATTGCGTACCAACGCCAGCTGGCCATCCACTCGGCGCAGTCCATCTCCAACCGCACTTTTGGCAGCCACCTGTCCTCACCAGCGCCCACACCACCACAGGCTTCACGCCAGGCTTCTCCAGCCAATGCGAATGCGGCAACGACTGGCCGGAACCCTCCTCCGGGCAACACCTCTTCCGCCTCCACTTCCCCTGCCGCGCAAGCTTCTCCATCTTCGACGGATCAGCTCCTCGACCCGATGAGCGCCATGAGCGTTTCCGACATGGCGAGCCTCTCGCCTGCCGACCGCGCACGTCTTGTCCGCCATGGCGCTGTCATTGAGCGCGCCTCTAACCTGCTCGGGAGCAATCCTAGCAAGGTCAACGCGTTCCGTTACAACATCTCGTCGTACCGGTCGGGTGCCCGCAGCGCTCCGCAGCTGATCGACGCGTTTTCGTCTTTATTTTCCGAGACAAGCGACACAGCGCTGGGTAGTCTGGTGCGCGAGGTGGCCGACCTGTTCGACGACGCATCTAAGGCCGACGCCCTACGCAGGGCCCTACACGACCGGCGCGCGGCAGCGGGCGGTGCCGAGGGCAGCGTCCAAGAAGACTACCCCTCACTCCCGACGCTCGGCGGCATGCACGGCGCAACGACCTCAACGAGCGGCTGGGCGGCTGCAGCGTCGGCCAATGCACCGTCGGCAGCAAACAGCACCGGCTCGTCTTCGTCTACGCGCGTTCTGCGGCTGAAACACAGCACACGGCTTGGAGGGCCATCGACGTCCTCGTCGTCTGTGATTAGCACACCCAGCTCGCGCGACCCGAGCGGTCGCACAGTGCCTGGAGCCACATGGACAGCGCCTTCGCGATCCGCTGCTCCGGTCCCGCCGCGTCCCCAGACCTCGGCGGCGTTCCCAGCTTTGCCCAGTGCCGCCGGCAAGAAGTCGGCAACGTCGTCGTCGTCATGGGTGAATGTCAGTGGCAGCGCGGGTGGTCCGTCCACGCTCGCGGCCCGTGTTGGTGGCGGTACCAGCGGTGGCAGTAGCAATTCGACGCCCGGTCGCTATGCTTCCTTGTCAGCACCCGGATCTGGCACTAGCACGCCCCTGGGCGGTGCACGCCGTGAGGATGCGTTCCCAGCATTGCCTGCGGCGCCCAAGCCACCACCACCGTCCGTCTTTGGCTACGGCCGCAAGGCGGTGCGACGTGACCTGGGCGGTGGCAACCAAGATACGGGCTTCTCGTGGGGCGGCGAGGGTGCTGCAGAGGGCACTTCGTCTGCTGCACCCGTCGAGGCCGACGACGATGCCGGCAAGGGCAAGAAGAAAGGCCGGCAGGGCAAGAAGGTGCTCGTGCAGTGGGGTTAAAGGTGACGTATCAAGAATTCAAGGATTTTGAATGGAAGCGCATGACGTCGGCATTGAAGCATTGGAGGCGTTTTGTTTTTTTTTTTTTTTTTTTTTTGGTTTTAGAAACCGTCTGTCCACAATGGCAGCTGCGCCTTTAATATTGTATCCAATACAAGAATCTATTTTTGGTTTCCATCGTGGCACCGTTACCATATATCATCATTATATAGAAATTCAATGATCGGCTGTCCATCATCATCACCGCCGATACGTTCCGAAGATTGTGTAGTCTTTCTTGGGGCCGCGTACCCCATACTCGAGCGTCCAGTTGGTGAGGTTGACGCCAGACACGCCAAACTCATAGTGCACATCGTAAAAATCGTCGATGCAGAGATGGCCCGCCGTGGCCTTCCACCCCTTGCGCGACGGCGACGGCGAAAACTCCAGCGCATGGAACAAGTAGTCGGCGCGCGAGGACTCGTCAGTGCGCGCAAACCACACACTCATACGGTCGTCGCGTGCATTGTACCGCCACACGTAGCGCCGCGTCGCCTGGAACGAGGGTCCGTTCAGAGCCGTGAAGGTGCCATCCTCGACGTACAGGTACTCGCACTCGTCTTCGTCCTCCTCGCCGAGCTTTACCGACTCGGACATGCCGTCCTTGGTTCCCTGGCGCAGACGGAACTCCGCCGTACCGACGAAGCGGCCGCTTGGGTGGCTGGGCAGGTGGCTTGTGAGTGTGCGGTCAAGCTTCCACGTGCCCTGCAGACTGCGGAACACAGCACGAGCGACAAAACGGGTATCGTGCAGGCCAGCCTTGACTGTGGCGGCCGTGTGTTCGATGGCCTTGACGGTGTCCAGGCTGTCGACCGTCGGCTCACCCCCAGTGTTCTCGTCGCCCTGGTCGTCGTCGCCGTCGAAATAGTGTGCTGGTGTCACAACGTCCAGGGCGACGTCACGGGTCTGGAGAGCAGCATCTGCTGGGTCGGCTGCCCGCCGCGGAATCCCCAATGCCTCGCCGAAGGTGTGCATCAGGTACAGGTAGTCGCCCATGGGGAACTGGGATGTACGCTCCGGGTCGGCACGCAGCGACAGTGTACGCTCGATGGAACGATCGTCTGCCAGTGCCGCGGCCAGCTGTGGCCATTGCGGCGTGGCAGGGACCCAGGAGGCGACGTCTTGTGACGGTGACGGAGAGGCTGCGTCCGACACAAAGAGGGCAGTGGCCAGACGTGCCTGCATCTCCATGACACCCCAGTAGGGCGAGCGATAGAAGCCCACAAAGGCCAAGTTGGCAACAGCAGGGTGGTATGTGCCGTTAAAGGCCAGCGCGACGATCTGACGGGCGTCGGTTGCATCGAAGTGCAGCGCCTGCTTGACACTGTCAGGAAAAAATGCGAGCGACGTCGCGGCCGAGAAGCCCGTGGCCAGTACAACCGCGGCCACGTTGTCCACGTTCTCCGACTCAGACACGTCCGTAACCACGGCTTGTGCGTCCGTGACAGCAGTCAGCTTGCCAGTCGACAGTGTGATGCGGCCGGAACGGACATGTTCAAGATACGTATCGCTGACGGCCATCATGGGCGGTGCGTCGCGCACGGTGCTGTCTTTGGCAATGGCGAGCGCCGGGTGGATCTCAGCCTGGTCGGTGCCGAGCGCCGTCTCAAAGAGGCCGTGAACAAACCGAGCCGTCTCCGCGGTGATATGGCCCTGCGTGTCGGCCAGTGGCTGCGGACGCTTGCGGATGTTGTACGAGGGCAGATCGAAGGGGAGGAACGGGGGAGCGTTGGCCGCAGGGGCTGGCGACGTGTGCAGCGGGAACACCCAGAAGGGCTGCTGGATAATGTGGTGCACCGAAGCGGCAGGTATGGTGTCTATCGCTGCGCCTGGAGCATGCCCAGCCGAGGACAAGTGGCTGGCAATGGTAGCGGCGATCTCAACACCAGAAAACTGTCCGCCTGCGACCACGATCTTGCCCTTTTGGTCCTTCTTTGGTGGGTGTCCGGCAAAGAGCGTGTCCAGGTCACGGTAGGCACTGCTGTGAACAACGGGAACGCCCCCAGAGTTGGCCGTCGTCGTCGTCGTCGTCGTCGTCGTCTTCAGGCCGTCCGGGATATTGGGACTTCCAAAGTAGCCGCTGGCCACAACGAGATAGTCAAACACGCCGGCATCCACCACGTCGCGACCACCGCCCTCCGTATCCGTGGCCTGCGTCCACACGTGCCAGCCACTCGTCCCATTATCAATCGGCTTGGCCCTGACCACACGCTGGCTCAGCTTCACCACCAGATCACCAATCTCCTGCGGGCCACGACAGTACCGCTGAAAGTACCGCTCAAGATAGGCGCCGATCTGCCAGGCCCGGGGAAAGGAGGGTGCGTCGTCCTCCCAGGCCAGCCCACTGAGCTGGACAGTATGGCGGCTCTGGTTGGCCAGCATGAGTGGGTGCACAAGGCCGCCATTGTCACCGCGGCTGCTGGGCCACAGGCCGCCGATCCGCGGCTGGCTCTCGACAATAGTGACGCGGAACTTGCTGCGGGCGCGGCGGTCCCAGAGCAAGTTCTTGGCCGCGGCCAAGCCGGACGGGCCGGCACCTGTAGATGTCAGCAGGAGTGACAAAGGTAAGGGGGGGTGCGAACGGAACGAGGAGAACAGAAAACGCACCGATAATGCAGACCGTCTTGCGGTCGGCCATGGCGGGCAGCGGATGCCGGCGCGCCAGCAATGTGAGCAGTCGAGACGCCGTGGGAGTGGGTGTGAGAAGCACTGAACGTGTGTTCTGCAGCGGCTGGAAGTGCTGTGAGGACTCCTGGCGGTGTGTGTTGTGTTCGGGGGAGAATACGTGTGACAGGCAAAATACAGATCGTGTGTACAAATCTCGTCGCGATGCTGAATGCTCAGAATCAGCAGGTGCAAAGGCCAACAAAGACCGCTGTAATAGCCGCTGTAGAGCCCAGGGCTGGCCAATCGTCAGCGGCCGTAGTGTACTTTTTAGCGCGACTACAGACCTGTTTTAGTTATTTCGCCGAGGATTGGCGTTAACACTTCCATTCTTGCGTCTCACGACATGTCAGACTCTCTCAGGCAAGGACGGCATTGAATACACTCATACGCCCAAGGCAAACACAAAGTAAAGTCCGTGAAATCTATTAAAAATGACACAAACACAACAAGGAATCAGTGAAAACGGTTGTGTTTAGCAAAATATATGACCAAAGGGCCCAGGCAGCAGCAGATTATCTACTACTCCATAATAGAGGCTTTGTATACGACGCTGCCCCTAACATGGGGAAACAGAAGACAACACAGCGAAGATAAGACATGGCAGGGAGGCAACATGACGTGGAAAGTCCGCATCCAATGTCTATCCCTGCATCCCGTGTACAAGAAGTGCCCCGTCCATCCGCCCTACTCCAAAAATTCAATCATGACCGTCGCCTGCTTCAGGCCGGCCTCCTCAATGGTCTTGTCCAGGTCCTCAAGCAAGTCATGGCCCTGCGGCATGACCTTGAGCTCAAAGGCAAGGCCCTCGTGGCCCTCGAGCGGTGCCGCCTTGAGCCACTCGTAGACGCGGACCACGCGGTCGTCGGTGGCAAAGCGGCGAATCACACGACCGGTGGCGTGCCGGAACTGGATCCGAGTGGCGGCGGCGGCGGGCACGCTGGCCGGTGGTTCTTCGTGGGGCTTGTCGGATGCAATGGCCTTGAAGGCGGACAATGCTCCGTCGTCGTCGGGCTCTGCCTCTGCTGCAGCGTCTGGTGCCGGCGTGCCCGTCAGCTCGTCCGGATCCTGCACGCCATTGCTGGCACCGCTTGCACTGCGTGAGCCCGAGGCCACGCCCGATCCCTCGCCGGCCTGACCAGTGCCGCTGCCACTGCCACTGCCGCCGCCCGCCGTCGCCAGGCTGTTGCGAAGGGCCATCTCCAGCATCTCGTCCTCGGTCATGCGGCCCACGTCCTTGACGACGGTCTGTGGCTTGGTGCGCTGCACCGGGTTCTTCTTGGCCGCGTCGAGGCTGTAGCGGTCCAGAAACTCGGCGAGCTGTGCGTGGAACTCGAGGGCGGTGGGGAACGGGCGGCCGGACCAGACCTTGACCTGCTCGCCAGTGCGCGGGTCGACGACGCCAATATGCGGGTAGTTGTCCGGGTTCTCGTGCTGGCCGCCGGGCATGTAGTACTGGATGTACGACTCGGCCAGGATGTCGTCCTTGCTGTACTGCAAAAAGACAAAGTTCTCGCGCACGAGCTGCTTGATGGCCGCGTCCTTCCAGATGTCGCGATTCAGCGCTTGGCACTGGAAGTCGGACAGGTCCTGGATGTTGGCCAGGATCCAGCGCTTCTCGTCTTTGCCAATCGCCCGCGCCTCGTCCCAGGACGAGACATGCTCGATGAGGTCGTGGGGTGGGCGGAACAGGTCGGCCAGCCGGGCTTGCCGTGACGAGGGTGCCGGCACGGATGGGCCGAGAGACGCTAGGCCGTCGTCGGTCACACCGCTCGTCTGGTGGCCGCTGCCGCCGGCCGCAGCATCTGGGTCGTCGTTGTCGTCCCAGACCTGGTTAAAAGGGTTGCGGGGACCCCGTGCCGCCTGCCGCGTTCGCTGTAGCCGCATCTGGTCGTAGATGGAGTCGCCGCCGTAGCCACCGTAGCTGCCGTAGCCGCCACTGCCGCCTACGTACGACGGCTCGACGAGCATCTCGGTCGTACGGCCCATGGGCGCTCGGATATCGTCGTCGCCGCCGCCGCCGCCACCGCCCGCCGGCTCGGCATACATCTCCTCCTGCAACCGCTTGGCCATGGCCGCGTCTTCTTCTTCCTGTGCCGACCGGGCCACTGTCTCTGCCGCCGCCGCGTCGGACATGTGCGTGTCGACGTCAATAACCTCGTTCTCGTTTTCGTTGGCATGTTCGTCGTCGTCGTCGTCAATGTCTTCAAGCTCCTCGATCTCGTCAAAGTCCATGTCGTTGTCGTCGACGTCGTGGTGGTTGTTGCCGTCGTCGTCGTCGTCGCTATCGTCAATCGTAATCACGCCGTCGGCGTCTTCGCGGCCTCGTGACAGACTCGAGGTCTGGCCCGAAGCGCGTGCTCTTGTTTGCCGCGACCGGCTCGACGATGCTGTCCGGCTGGCGCCCGCCGGTCTGCTTGTGTTCCTGGATGCGCTCTGCTGTGCGGCCGCCGGGGTCGACGATGCTGCCGCGGGCTGCCGTGCCAGCGTCTCGGCCATGTCCGTGTCGTAGAACAGCACAGCCGCCTGCTCAATGTTGCCGCCGGCAATCTCCAGCAGCTGTCGCGCCACCTGCTCCGACGCGCCTGTGATGGCCACAAAGTTGTTTACGAGGTCGTCATCCATTGTAACGTGCGGTGGGGGGGGGGACCGTCGGGGAGCGTTACGAGGAACCAAAAGTCAAAAGGAGGTCAGATTTGATATGTCGGATGTCGAGATCGTATGTCGAAATTGTGCGTCGAAATTGTGGGCTGGTGATAAGTGCTACCAGGACAAACGCGGTTGTTGGCGTTTCCTGCTGGCCGTCAACGCCTGTCGACCCTCCCTTGGGTGCAGGTGAAGACGTGGTGTGAGATGGCAAAGTTACGAGCAGAGATTCGTATATTTGTCGTGGAGAGTGGGCGTTGATCGGATTGGGAGACAAAGGAGCCTTGAGACAGCTGCGTGGGAAGAGTGAAGAGTGAAGAGTGAAGAGTGAAGAACGTGAGGAAGAGGTTGTGAAGTGAGTGCAACAAGCTTTAGGTAGGTAGACACTGATTGTTAGGCGGACCCAGGCAGCGCGACGGTGACGAAGAAATTAGCAGTGGCCGCGGGTAGGCGAAACTTTCTGTGTGGCCTGGCCTTCGCCCCGCCAGGCTGCCCCAACGGCTCCAGCACAGTTGACTGCCCCGCGCCGTCCTGCTGGAGCTGTCCAGTGGGGTTCGAGTGCCGTGACGCAATGGGGGCGGATGGCGGTTAGGGCGTTTTAGGGCGATGGGAGCTGTGTCTTGCAGAGTAATAAGCCAATCAGAGCAGTCGAACCGAACTTTGGAGCAACCGAAATCGCGTCGTCTGTGTATTTATCATCACCAATTACAACTGCAAACAACGGGGCATTACTCCGTACACAATCATCAAAACAGGCGACGAGTATCGAGTATTTGATTTACTATACTCTGTTTATTTTATTTTTCAGTAAAATCGTCCTTTAGATGCAATGTGAAACATTGTGGATATGTACAATGATACATGTAATGGACTATGTATCAAACTTTAAAATATAATCGCACAATCCTGCATACTCAAAAAGTACACTCGGCGGTTTTCTTTCGCTTCGGCTTTCGTCAAGACGTGGCCTACTTCTCCTACTTCTCCTACTTCTTTCCTTCAGCAACAGCCTCTCGCAATAGCTTCTGCACATCAAGAGACCGCTCTGTCGAGAGCGCCCCGTCGACGGCCGCTTTGATTTTGCTGGCCGCTTCGCTGCCAACGGCGCCCAACGCCCCCTTTTTGCTTGCTCTGACCAGTGCCTTGAGCGCCTTGGCCCGCGACGAGCGCTGCTCTTCTGTGCCCGCCTCGGGTGTGTCGACGTCGAGAGACGCAAGGTAAGCCAATGCCAAGTCGCCGCCGCTTTCCGACGAGGACGACGAGGACGACGAGGACGTGGACGGCACATCCGTCGACGCGGCCGCCTCGAGCAGCTCACCCACGGCCTTGTACCAAGTCGTCCGCCGGACAAGGATGTAGGCGTTGCTGCTCACAAAGGGGGCCAGAGCGGCCCAGACAGCCGCCAGAACGGCGCGAGGGTCGCGCCGCAGCGAGGGTTTGTGGTAGCCGCGGGCCACCGCATCCAGCGCATTCTCCGCCGCCTGCCGCACGAGCCGTTCTTTTGTAGCGGCCGCCGTGTCCTTCTTGCTGCCGTTGGCCGAGTCGATGTCCATGCGGTCGCCGCCATCCTTGGCATCCTCCCACTCCTTGAGCGCCTCCAGGTGTGGCGTCACAATCGCCACAATGTCGTCCCACATGCCGACGGCCGCCTCGTCCTCGCGCGCCGCGGCCACGCGCCACAGGCACTTGAAGGCGTGCACGCGGTATGCGTCGTTGTTGCGCTTGGCCTCCACCGTCGCCATTTTGCGCAGAGACGCGGCCACCTTGGCGTTGTCCTGCCACAGCGCCTTGCCCTTGCTCACAACATCAGGCAGCACCTCCAGCAGCGTCTCCTTGCCGTCAAATGTCTTGAGGGCCAGTGCGCGTTCGTAGAGCGGCCACAGCAGCGTGAGGTGCGCCACGTTGACCTGGCCGCTGAGGTCACTGGCGGCCAGCACCGACCCGACGGCCGCCGCCGCCGTGCGCGCACCGGCGTGCTTGAGCGCCCACTGCGCCGTGTCGAGCGCGCGCTCGGTCAGCGCAGCAATCTCGGGCACGTACCGCGCCACGCTCAAACTGCTGCCGGCGTGCTTGCTCCAGACCTCGTCGGCAGCCTTGTGCACGTAGTCGTCGGCGTCGTGGCGGGCCAGGTACGAGAGTGGTAGCAGGCGCGCTTCGAGCGCGTTGAAGTGGTCCGGGCTGATCTTGGACAGGAACAGCACGGCGTCGGCCACCTTCTGGCGGCGGGTCTCGTCCTCGGCTCCAAAATACAGGTCGACGAGGTGGCCCACGAACCGCGCGCGCGCGGCGTCGGGCGCCGTCCGCACGACGTACGCCGCCGTCTTGGCATAGCTCTGGCTGACCTCGTCGTTGCGGTCGAGCAGCTGCTTGCCCAGCAGCTGCAGGAACCGCGCGCTGTGCGGCGCAAAGTCGAGCGCGTGGCGCGTGGCCAGCGTCTGCAGGACCCGCCCGCAGCCGATCTTGGTCGGCATGCCGACCGCGCTCTTCATCGCCGCCTCGATGCCGGGCGCCAGGTCCGTGAGCACGGCGGCATCGACGCTGCGCAGGCTGTTCTCGATGGCCTCGGAGATGGGCGACTGCGACACCATGGCACTGCGCATCTTGTCGAGCTTCTCCCGGTCGTCGTCGCCGGAGCGCATGTAGTAGTAGTTGAAGGCCTGCGGCTCGATGGTGCTCAGCAGGCCCAGCAGGTGCGGCACCATGGCCGCAATGTACGGCCGCAGCGACTTGCCGCCGTGCTTGGCAATCTTGAGCACGGTCAGCGTCGCAAACACCTTGACGTCCTCGACGCCGCTCTCGATGCCCTTGTCGGACATGAGGAAGGGCAGCGCCTCGTTCATCATGGCGACGGCGTTCTTGCGCGCGCCGGCTGCGCTGCCGCCGCTGCCGTCCTCTTCCAGCTGCCGCACAAGCGTGTTGGACAGCGTGATGCAGAGCCGCAGCGCCGCCTCGCGCACCGATCCTTTGACGTCGTCGAGCACCTTGAGCGCGCGCGCCCATATGTCCTGGTAGTACGCTTCGTATTGCGTAAACGGCCGCCCCTGCACGAGGTCGGCGATGGCCGCCGCGCTGGCCTCGCGCACGCGCCACTCCTTGCCCAGGATGCTCTTCAGGAGGTCCTCCATGATGGCGGCAAAGTGCGTCTCGATGACCGCGTTCGAGTCCTTGACCAGCGCCTTCCAGATGTCGTTCATCGACCGCTGCACGTTGGGGTTGGGGTCGAAGCGGTAGCGGAACAGCTTCGGGTACAGCTTGGGGTCGACCGTCTCCGCCTCGGACGACAGGATGTTGCTGAGGCCGAAGCGGCCAAAGGCCGACCGCGTCGACCACGTGGCCGCGTTGGCCGCCAGCGACATGAACTTGTAGATGAGCGTCTGGTCGCCCACTTCGTTGGCCAGGTTGACAATGTCGCGGTACGACGTGACCGACTTGCCCTCGCCCGTCGGCAGCGCGCCCGCGTCAAACAGCTCCGTGTCCTCGTCGACCTTGAGCTGCGTGCCGCTGCCCGTAAACGACGCCACCAGGTCGCGCACCAGGTCGCCCTTGAGCGGCGCATCGCCCTTTTCGTACACGAGCGCCAGGCCCCGCGACGCCGTCTCCTGCACCAGCTCGTCGCGCGCGCTCAGCAGCCGCATGAACGCGACCTGGCACTCGCGCAGTCGGCTCTGCACCTCGGGCAGGTGCGCGCAGTGCTGGATCAGGCTGAACAGCCAGATTCCCGACGCCTTGAGAAGAGCCGGCTTTGTTGTTTTGCCGTCCGTCAGGATCTTGTCCAGAGCGGTGGTCAGCCGGTGCGGCCGCTTGGCGATCCGGAACGGCGCCCGCTTGGCCTGGCTGGTGCTGGACGAAGACGACAACGAAGACGAAGACGAAGACGACGCCGACTGTACATCGAGTGACAGCTCCACCACGTCCGCGTCCCAACAGGCCACGGCCGCCGTGATCGCGCCGCCAATGGCAAAGTGTGCCTCGGCCTGCTTGATTTCGTACAAATCGTACAGCTTGGACAGGATCAGCGCCGTGACGTCCGTCTCGTCTGCCCCTTTCTCCGTGTCGGTGGATTCGGCCCCGGCCGCTGTCGAGTCAGCACCGACGGACACAGCAAGGCGGCCCAGGGCGGCGATGGCGCGCTCGTTGCCCTTTTTGGCTTGCGTGGTGAGCACGTCGACGAATCCAACAATCGTCTTGTTCGTATCCGCGTCGCTTCCATCAGGAACAGAGCCCGGGAGACAGGCAATGCCTGCCGTCCACAGCTGGGACAGGGCGTCAAACAATGCGTCTTGGAACGACATGGACGCCTCGCTGATCTCCTTTGCAGTCGGAAACAGGGTCGCAACGTCGTCCACGAGCGAGGCTCGCTGTCGGTCTGCGTCGGCGGCGTCATAAAACACAATTCGTGACAATAGATGTGCCAGGGACACAAAGGCACCCTCCGTCGCGTTCAGCTCCGAGCCCACGGCGGTCTTCCATGGCTGGGCGGCAGCCACCAGATCGGCCTTGAGCTTGGCCACGCTGGCAACGCCATTGTCTGGATGGGCACCCAGGATGCCAATGGCGGCCGCCGCGAGCTTTCTCACTTCCTTCTTGTTTGACGTGGCGAGGGGCAGCAGCTCAGGCGTTCGGCCGGCCAAGTGCGCGAGCGCAGCCTGCGGCGCGAGCGAGGCCAGCTCGACAAAGCAGCGGCCACACGGCTCGACGACGGCCGGCTTGTCCTTGAGGAGCATGCCTTCCAAGGCAGCCTCGAGCAGGTCCTGCAGCGACGTCTGGAGCGCGGCCGACGACGCGAGGTAGGCCCGAATCGCGTCCCGGCTAGCCTTGTCTGACCGCACCAGCGTCTCGACCTGCTGCTCCCAGCCGGGCTCGACCTTGAAGTCGGTCAGCGCTGTCAACAGCAAGATGCGCTTGCAGTAGTTGACGGCAAGCGCAAACGCGTCCAAAATGTCACCGGGAAAGTTGACAAAGACCGACACAGCATCCAC